CACTTTGAGGGGGAGGTACGGAGATGCCTTTCTTTGGGCGAATTCGTGAATTTAGCATTCATCGCGAACTAATCAGTAGGAGGCAAGTATTTGTTGCTTTTTAGGATCGATGAAATACGTTCATGTCGAATGTCTGAATCAGTGGCGAAAAGTCGCCGCTAATCGGGACAACTTCTTCCAGTGTCAAACTTGCAAGTAGTAGTAGTAGTCTGTTCTGCTCTGTGATTTCCGCGATGGATGGTATGAATATCACTCCTGATGCGGTGAAGGGAAATAGGCACATGCTCAACTACATGGTTTGGTGATGATGAGGAAATTGTAGATAATTTTGGTTGTTGGTTTTTGTACAATTTTACGTAGAATCGTGGGTTAATTCCTAAAATGTTTCTCGGGACACTCGGCTGAGCTCAGCTAAGAGAACCAAGATTTACATTCCTCCAACATAGACTTAACAGCAGCAATAGTCTTCCCCTCGCAAATTGAATTTCTCACCCGAATCGAATCAGGTACAAGTATAAGTTTAAAAGGACTTGGTTTGCCGGGTTGTTGACGAACCCTGTTATAGTTGGTCTGGTAATAACACGGGTGGAAAATATGCACATGGTCAACTACATGTGTTGGTGATAGCATGAAAATTTTGGGAAAATTTTCTCGGTTTTTATACACTTTTATTCGAATTTGTATGTAAAATTGTATTGGTGAGGGAACTCCTGAGCTCAGCTGAGGAAGGGAAACATACATTCCATTACTATGTTGGAGCTTATCTGCGTGATGACAGCGTCGCGCGCCACAAAATTATTGGCTTCTCATTTGGTATGGCCAGCTTTAGACGGCATTTGGCGTTGTTTCGTCCGACTGTCTGAGTTGCAGTCGATATCATTTTTGTTTTCTCAGTGCACCATGTTTGTTCTCCTCCTTCTTATAGTGCTGTGTGGATTCTTTGGATTGATGCTTGGGTAAGAATGGTGTAGTGGTTATTACTCTGCACTTAGCATCCAGAGGTCGCGGGTTCGATTTTTGGTATTTCTCTTTTTTAGTTATTTCTTCCCATCAGAGGAAGAAGACGTGGGATTCCTATGGTTCCTGATTGCTGGCCACCGATGGGCATGGTAGTATATAAGGAGGTTTCAGTACTATTCATATTCAATTCAATTGATTAATCATTCTCTGACCTACAGTGTGAGAGGGGGAAACGGGTGGGGATCCCTGCCGCACCTGTTGGCAGCCCCTCGACCGAGTGTAGTGGTGCAAGAAGGGCACGAGGAATTGGTTGACAAAATGATAGACTTTGGCATATTTATGGTATACAGTACGTGTCAATTTGAGATGCAAATGTGTGTTATTTTCCGAGATTAATGAGAATCGATTTGCAATGTAACGATGGCTATGAACTTGTGTTGTGATGATGAGAGTACTCGTTTGGGACTGTGATGATAGCGACAACTTGTTCACTATCATTTGTCCTACAAAATAACACACATTTGCATATCAAATTGACAAGTGCTGTATTTGATATTCATAGAGCTTGCTCACGGTTTTCCATACAGGTATGACTTCCTCCTGCGTGGCGTTACTATAGTCGGTCTGAGCGGCTTTGCTCAACTGATTTTCTATATTCCCCGGTGGGTCGACTTTCGATCGTCATTAGCGGAGCGAAGTTTTCTTGTTCTCGATTATAGATTGGGAGTGGACAACCAGCCGCGAGGAGGACGGGTGGATGTGATGATATTAATCATCATAGTAGCTGGGCTTATCAAGGTAACAAGGGAAAGGGCGTGGGATCGATCCCCGGTGGGGTCAATTTAACATAACTGGGTAGAACTAGAGTCACTCTGCATTAAGTCATTGATACTCGTATTCAGAGAATGATCCAGGAACCTATAATGCTCCTGCAGGGAACTCATTTTGAATTTTCAACATGTAAATCAGTTTCTCAAAAGTAAATGTCATCACA